CAATCGCTCAGGCAGCAGAGGACAGGCCTCAACCCTAAACCCTAGATAAGACCAGCTTGACTTCTTCCTTTGGGACCTACCGAGCCCGACCCGGCAGATTCATCTTGAAATCTAATCCGGCGAGACCCGTCAGTTAAATGCAAGCCGGGTCGGGGTTGAAGGTTTAGGGTTTAGGTTTAGGGTTTGAACCCTAGTTGATCCGTAGCCTACACGATCTGAGGTAATTATCTAGGTCGAGGGCTCCACTGCGGAAAGCCATGCTAGGGCCACAGTCGCAACAGTACTTGTGTAGCTCACAAAAGCCCATTGACAGTTGTGCATCCTATATCGTATGCTATCGATGTCATAGGTTATAATATGTCATATAGTATGTTACACTATATTCTGTTATATTTGCCGAAGTTCAGATGCTGTTATGGTCTAAACCCTAAACCTTAAACCCTACATTGCAGCTCGAAGGTTCTATGCCCTGAACCCCCAGCCCCACTCTGACACTGGGCCGGAGGCAAAGCGTGGCCGTAGCACTCCCGCGTGGGCAGCAACCAATTGGGAGGCAAACTGTACCTCAGCAGCATGGAGATCGATTAGGATAAACGCTAGCTGAAAGTGAAGGACTTCAATAGCCGGAGGCCGTGACATCGGCACGAATGGTGAAACCATGATAAGATGACACGGTGGAAACAAAAGGGATCAGAGAAAGAGAGTGAGGGTGAGGGAGCTGTCATAACAACCATCGCATCTTGCGAGTCTGTCCTGATCCTATAGGGTATAATAAGCTCGAAAAGGGTAGGAAGAACGATCTCAGTTTAGGATGACTGGAAGCTATGAACCAGACAGTAGGAGAAAAAGCAGATGCTATGAAAGCTATCTACAAGGCAATCCTAACACCAACGACAGTCAAATTAAGCGCAGTAGCAGCGAGTCGAACCCTGCGAAACCTTTACACTACCCATCAGAGTTTTTTTGCCTCCGACTTAGCAAGGATCTGATGGGTTTAGGGTTTAGGGTTTAGGGCTCATTAACAAACCAAGCTTCTCAGCAAGAACCAAGGTGCGGCATCGCCATCTCAACCCCCACCGCATGTGCCTAAGGCGATGTGACTCTTCAAGGTCGTTGTAGTGTGCGCTCAGGGCTAGCACGGCTACAGTAATAGGATTCATTACGGAGATATTACGCCTCACAGGGTTTATGCAAGGTCTGTAGGATTTGGGGGTTTAGTGGGGTGGAATTTGGAAAAGTAGGGCTAGCAGAGGCGAGCCCTTATCGTCTCCGGATCTTGCAAGAACTGTTGCATCGTTCTTGTTTGGCCCGAAACCTTGCGATGCTCGATGTGCCAGAACTGACGCCCCTGGCTCACGGATGTGGCCCCCCGGCGATTCGGGGTGGGGTGGGGCCGGTGAAAGCCCGAAGTCACAAAAATCATCCCAAATCCTGCCCCAAAGCCTCACAACGACCGTTCCCAAGGCCATGCAGGAAAGCTTTTTCTGCTTGGGCCATTCCTTCCGGCCGATGCTGAACACATGCAGTCACTACGGGTGTCGGCCATCGCAACGTTGAGTGCCTGTGGCTCTGGCTTTGACCCATGTGAGGAGTGAATGAGAAGGACAGCATGTCGGCGTGCTCCACGGGTGATTCCGTCAGCCAGTTCGGACGACGTACCGGTGTATGATCGGGATGGTGCACCCTACGACGAACCAAAACTCGTCTTGCTGAACATACCCTGCTGTCTTCGGAGAGGGGGCGCTGCTCGTGCTGAGGACGGGTGCCCTGAAACCGTCATTCTGGAGTTATATTTCCTTGGGGCACGGGGAGCCTAAACTCCCACCAGATCCCCACCGACTTCTTCGGAGGTCCACATCCATCCAGCCCCACATGTAGGACCCAATAAGGCCGAAGCCGCAATTATTGAACCCAGAGACTCCAAAACCCCTTAATTAAGGAATCTACCTTAAATCATATTAGGGATCCTATTATAATTTAAGATATCTTCCTTAATTACGGATTATTGGAGTCTCTGGTTAATGTAGTTCTTATTTAGGTACTTGAGGGTCAATGTATATACTATATGGGTACAT